TTTTTTTAATACATAAACATGAAACTAAATCTTAATCAATTGAAAATAGTTTTTTAAACAGATAATTCAATAGTTAAATTAGCATTTATACTGAAAAATATTTTTGAACATAAGTTTTAATAGGTTATATTATTAAAAACTTAAATAATTGTTATTGCAGTAAGTTAATCATAAATATACGATGTGAACTACTGTTTTTTACATGTATTTTTATTTGACCTTGTGATCTCTAAGTGCTAAACTTTATTAATTTAATCTTATCTCAAGTCAACTGTTTAAGTATTTTTATCAATAGACAATAGCAATATATTATTACGATTTCGGTTTTGATTAGGGTAAATTATTAGTGAATATGACACACAAATTATATTAGTAATCTTATCGTAATTAAATGTATGATTAGGGTTATCACACTTTACATAAAAGTTAAATATGCTAATTATTAGCGTTAAAAAAATTAGAGTGAAAAAGTGATAAAATGTCAGATATTAAATACTTTGAAAACGACAAAATTCATGTTTTTCATTTAAAATTAGTTAAATCCTTTGTTTCTTCATAAGTTATAAGTTGATCATAGGTATTTATAACCTATATTTTGCTGGATAATAACAATATCGTAAAATGAATGATATATTTGTCACAAAAGTTAAGATAAAAGCTCCTACAAACTTGGTACAGATAATTTTGTCAACTGTGGTTCTTTTATAGTTTGTGATCAAATAGATGGTTTTCGGGAGATGAGATATGAGATCATTTGAAAAATCATTCTTACTACATTTATCCTGATCAATGAGAGTTGATCCTCGATAGCAGAAGAATGCTTCATCAAAAATTAACGTTTGTGATGGCTTTCCTAAAACTTTTAATCCATTTGTGTACTGAAAAATGCCACCACGTAAACCAATTTGTGTAACTGCGTAAACTGTTGATGTAGCATCCACTTTTACATTCCGGATCGGATCTCTAAAAATAAATTCAAATGTTTAATTACAAATAAATTTCAAATATTATCTCAATTACTGCCCCAAAAATGTTAAATACTATCTTTCTTAAAAAAAATAAATCTCTACACTTTGTCCATGTTTGGAAAATTTGCATATTTTCGCGTTAATTTGATAGTCTAATTTTGATAAAATAATGCGCATTGCAACAAAATATAAGTTTTTTATTCCATTTTTATCATAATTAATTTATTAATTAATTTATTTTTATTAATTTAATTTAATTTTTTTCGCATAATTGAATAATAAGGTCAGATTTCTTCATGAACTTGTAATTACATAAAAAAGAATCTAAGAAAAGTTACAAATAATAATATCTTATTTGTTAACTTTGAAAGAATTATCTAGCAATCTTCATTTTTTTGCCCAGCATATATGACAGACAATATTTAAATCATAAATTTATCTTTTTT